CAGCCTCAAACCACTTCATTTGTTGTGATCCTGTTGCATATAAAGAAAGCTTTCAAAAACACTTTTAATTTGCACGAGATTCTAACTGGAATTGGTAAACCAAGCATGTCAAATTGTAGACCTAACCCTCACTAATCATTCTCCTGCTTTTAACCTTTCAAGAACACTAACTAAAAACAATTAAAACCTCACCATTCCTCCCTTTGTGGTGCACCCTCCAGGACATTCATTACTCCAGGGCTCTGGCTTGAGATTTTAACAAAACCAACTCCTGAAGGGGAGAACACGTTGTAATCAGGCAGAGGCACACCTACAGGGGGAGGCGAGAATAAGAGATGGGCTGAGAGAAGAAAAACGACAGAAAGGGAAAGATTTCAACAGAAAGAGAAGAGAGGTTAAAGAGAAGGTGGAGGTTGTACAAGTGGTGATTTGTGACCCACAGGAAAGAGGCAAAGGGGCGGGCTCATTTACCCCGGCCTCTGAGGGACCGTAACAGGCGCTGTGTGTTTCCTCTAGATAATCCACAGCTAGTGAGTACATTTAAAACCCTCAGAAGCTGCTCATTTTAGGGTTGAAGCTGCTGATGCTTATTTGTTATCCTATGACCATTATAATACCAAACATGGTCATGAATTACAAGTATCCAGTGTTTCTATCAATAATTGTTCTCTTGGCAACACGGAAACGTTACGAGTGTTCCATTCTCACTTATTTACAGAGCGTTTACACACAGATGTGCACTGGAGATGGGTAGAAAACAAGGGTCAGAAAGCCCTCTTAAAATATGCAAAAGAGAAATGAATGCAAGATTAATTTGTTTTCCTCTTCTTGTTTTTTTTTGCTTTTAGTCAACCTTACCCCCTAATCCCACCAGGAGCGTCTGCGCTGCGGCTGCGGCGTTTTTAGCGATCGCGGCCACTAGTCAATGGGTGCTATTCCACCAGACCCGCTGCGCCGCGGCTCGAAGCGTCCCAGAAGCTCCTCGCCGCAAGGAATTTCTAAAATATAGGATGAATCCTATTTTTGACGCGGCGCAGCGCAGGCAGGAAGTGGAACGTTCATCCGGCCCAGGCCCATCCCCCAAATAAACTCGTGTTTAAATCAACAACAACTGCGAGGCTGCACACACGACGCTCCGCTTCCGCAACGTTTTGAAACGCGCCTGGTGGGTTATGACGCAGGAGGAGGTCGCAGCGCGGCGCAGACGCTTCCGGTGGGATCAGGGGGTTACAGCTCCAGCTCCATCCCGCTCTTACAGACTTCGTTTTTAATCATGATAAAAAAAGAACAGAACTGAGAGAGAAAGTGAGATATAAAGAACAAAAATGTATTTGTATTTGTTCAGTCCGAATCCCACAGTGGTATCAGCTTTATCACACCTCTCCCTGCCAAACACTCGCTTTTTTATCAGCCTGCTTTAAACACCAGGATAAATCTCCCCGATTAGTTGACATGGTTGACTCCTGATAAATGCATTTGGAGTGTTTTGCGAGGGAGTATTTTTCCATTTGATAACAAAAAAGGCATACAGGGGAAATTCAGTATCACACGTAGTCTGCAAAAGGGCCCGTCAAGCTGATGCTCCCAGACTGCAACATCCCGCACTCAGCCGGAGGATGATGTGCTAAAATCTCAACACTGAGAGATTGTGCGCGGCGTGTTAGCTTTGAAGTTAATTTGACGAGTGCACGTATGCTTCAACTAAAAAGCAATAACACCTGTGAAGAAAAAAGTGCTATCCCCACAGAGGCTGTGTGTGTGTGTGTGTGTGTGTGTGTGTGTGTGTGTGTGTGTGTGTGTGTGTGTGTGTGTGTGTGTGTGTGTGTGTGTGTGTGTGTGTGTGTGTGTGTGTGTGTGTGTGTGTGTGTGTGTGTGTGTGTGTGTGTGTGTGTGTGTGTGTGTGTGTGTGTGTGTGTGTGTGTGTGTGTGTGTGTGTGTGTGTGTGTGTGTGTGTGTGAACATCATTACCTCAGGATCCGAGTACAGGGGCAGACCTCATTAGGCTTTAAGGCGAGAAAGTCTCCACGGCACCAGGTCTGCAGTCCGCCTGACCCAGCAGACACGACACCCCGTATACCATTTTGTGTGTGTGTTGTTTTGCGTGCATGTTATTTATTTATTTTCCTTGGTAATATGCCTGAACCTTCATTATAGCCGGAGCCATAACTTTGATAAATCACTTGGGCTCGGGGCCCTCACTGCTTTCACAGTATTAGAAAACTAATTGAAATTCTCTTCCGCCCCCTCTTCTCTCCCTCTGTCTTTCTCCCCCTTTCTTTTTTCCTCTCTGTTTTTCACCCTCTCCCTCGTTCTCTCCTCTCTGTAGCGAGGGCCAAACAGTACCGCGTTTTTTCAGTAGAATAGAAGCCAAGAGGGGTAAAATGTCATCACTGATTTAATAGGCGTAGTCTTACTCAGAAACACACACTCTCTCATGCACACACACACACACACACACACACACACACACACACACACACTACACATACACACACACACATACACACATACTGAACTCTGGGGAGTGTTAGGAATCCTGATAATGTCATCATAGGAATCTCCATAATGTACCCCGGTCTCCGGCAGGCTCCGGTTTGAGTGTTCCTCCTTCCTCCTCTGCTCTTGATTAGATCCGGGATGACATTTTGGGTTTAGGTTGATGAGATTTAGAGTTTTGATACTTGTTACTATGGCCGTGATCTCCCCGCTGTCCCAGGATTGAGGGTTTGTTTGGTTCATTGCCTGGGATCTCCCAGCTGCCACTGGATTTAGGGTTTAGTCGTTTCATTGTCCGTGATCCCCCTGCTGCTACTAGATTTGTTTCATTTGCAGGGATCGCTCAGTGCTGCAGATAAATTCAGGGTGTGTTTTTTTTTTGTTGCATCGAATCTCCCAGATGACATTTTGTTTTGGGGTTGGATTGTTTTATTGTTCAGTGTCTGCTTGTCACTGCTGGATTTAAAGTTTGTATTGTGCATCTCTCAGCTGTTGCTAGATGTATGGGTTAGTTGTTTTGTTGTCCAGGATCTCCCTGTCGCCACTGACTGAATTTCGTGGGGCTTTAGCCACTTTGTTTTAATATCCAGACACTGTTGCTGTTTGTGTGACACTTGGGGCTTTGTGTCCACCCGGCAACCCCTCCTCTCTCACTGGGTGAGCTTTGTAGTGTGAAGCCAAAGATTTAGCGATGGAAGCAGAGAGTCTGTGTGTATATGTGAGGCGGCTTGTGTGGACCGGGTGATTTCATGGAGTCCTGTCAGCACACAAAATTCTCTCTGCAAACATTCTTCTGATGTGATGCAAGCCCAGGAGAGGAGCACAGCGTGCCTGTGTGTGTTTTCCACCAGTTTCCCAGACAGATCTATACCATCACGGCCCGACACACTGCAGGCACATAGCCACACATAAACATGCACACACACACACACACAAGTTGCATGTGAGCATGGTTAATGAGGATGTGTTGATTGATTAGACTGCAGTAATTAGCTGGAGTGTGAAGGCCTGGAAAGGTCCTCGCTCTGGTGGGAGTGTCCCCTCTGGAGAGACATTGAACTGTGCTATGCACCATTACGTTACACACACACACAAGCAGACGCACATCACATAAACGGTCCCATCCATATCACAGATGCGGGATGAGTCATGTCTCACAGGCCGACCTAATACTTTGTGCGAGAGGAAGGATGTGTGTGTTTGTCAGAGTCTGAGACATAAGGATGTTTGCAGCTTGGAGATGTGTGTTTCAGAGCGAGATGTGCTTGTGCCAGCAGTTTCCTTTCCTGCACTGTGTGGCCCAACACTGACCTCACAAATCAACTCTCTCCATCACTTCCTCCGCCTCCTCATTTGAAGCTTGACTTCCTGTCAGCTGACCAGATTTCCTTTGTGCATCACAGAGCTGTTTCTTATAAATACTAATAATATGGTATTGGTATGGCAGCCTCAGTCTGTAGCCTTCCTCTCACTGAGTTCAGTGGATGCTGACTGAACTGCTGCAGTAAAGCATTGTAAACAGTGCCACCACATGGCCAGCTGGGGAACTACATACAATGCAGTTTTTCTTTAAAGAATGATCATTACACCTAAGCTTTTAACTCATCTTTTTCACTTGTTCTGAGCAAGAGAGAAATGACTCATTCGCAAAAAGCAACAAAAAAAACACAATCAAATTAGCACATGAGGTTGTTTTTAAAGGTTGTTACTGCCGTTCTTTATTATTGTTCTCACTTGTTTATTGATTGATCAAGCTTGTATCAAAAAAATATTCGGTGCAAGAAAGGCAATTTGTTAATATTGATCGTTTTTCTCTTTTCCACCCAACAGGAAGTTCTACTACATCACTCTACTGAGGGACCCGGTGTCTCGATACCTCAGCGAGTGGCGGCATGTGCAGCGGGGCGCCACGTGGAAGACCTCGCTGCACATGTGCGATGGACGGACCCCCACGCCTGAGGAGCTGCCCTCCTGCTACGAGGGCTCTGATTGGTCGGGCTGTACCCTGCAGCAGTTCATGGACTGTCCCTACAACCTGGCCAACAACAGACAGGTACGAGGAGAAGCTGACATCCAATGATTTATCACTAAATAAGACACACGATAAGCTGCCAAAGATGGAAGTGTTGCGGGTTGTCACTTTAACAGTCCTCTGAATGGGCGTGTGTAAAAGAATGCTACAGAGACGGTCACAAATCCTAAGCCACATCAAAATGCTTTTTGGCTACTCTGGGCCTTTTGTGCTTTACTGCAAACACTGAAAGAGCAGCTGATTTGACGATGGCATTTATCAAAGCCACCTAGCCGACCAGCATCTCTGCATCCGACCCAGCTTCTCTCAAGTCGGGTTAATCATCAATAAAAACATTTGCAGCTTCTATTAAAGGTGGGGTAGGTAATTTTGGAGAAACCAGCTCGAGTGCGCTAGAATTAGAAAATACACAGCCGGAAAAAATCTGCCACTTCCTTACAGAGCCCCTCCTCCAACACACACGAACACGCACATGACCAATGAGGGCACAAGATAAGTTTGTGCACAGATGGAAGGCTGACAGGCAGGTAGGCCATCCAGTTATTTTAGCCGGGCCGGCTCAGATGATTGGTCGTACTTTTCACACTACGGCTTCCACAGATGACATTTTTTTTATGGATCTTTTTGTCAAAGCACTTCAGATATCCATTCCTATCGGGATGTTAAGAGCATTCCATGGAATATAACAAAGTGTATCCCGAGCCGGTTTCTCAAACTTACCTACCCCACCTTTAAATCAGCCCATTGAAAGAAAAAGAAGAAACACAGGGAATACAATTCTGCAGATGAATAAAATAAAATGTTTTAATTGTCTGGAAAACGTGTGCATCTATTTAATCATTTAAAGAGCAACTTGCAGGTATTTTTTTTAATTACATTTATGCTTAACCTTGCCTGAAAATTACAATTACAAAATGTTAATGCAGGATTTGATATGTTTTACAAGACATAAGGGCAGGAATTCAGAGGGAAAGGAGCCGTTTTGAGCTCTGCTACTTTTTTTTTAACGTCAAACGCGTCATATTACGTCACATGGGGGAGCAACTTTCTCGGACTCGTTCTCTGCCCAATCCGCGGTAGTAGTTTGTAGTTGGTTTGAGCGGTTGTGATTTAGTGAGCTGGTATTTTTTCGATAATTTTACATTGCATTTCACCATTTGTAATCATGGTGAGCTTGTGTTTGTGCAGGTTGCACAAACTCGAGCCTGTCAGGACATCGAGTCCACAGTTTCCCTCACGGGAAAAGGACCGGAGCTAGCGTTCGGTCCTGGGTGCGTTTTGCATCCACCTCCCTGCAGCACATACTCTCCACAGCTTTATCAGGAAACCGTATTACAACTCTCTCCCCCCCTTCGCTGCACTCTCTCTCTCCCCTCCGGTACACGGCACCGTAAGACGTAGTGTGGAGTTGCATTAGGTAACGCTGTGGTGGCTGTACTGCTCCAGCCGTCTCCTTTGTGTTTGTTTGTTTCCCCCTGTCTGTGTTGTTTCCGTGGGCGTGGTGGCTGTCACTCCTGGCTCCCGGCTCAACCTCCACTCACCTGCTGCAATCAGCTGTGCACCCTCCCCGACTACACACCTGCTTTCCATCAAGCCATTTACAACGGCATATCAACGGAGGCTCCACAACCTTTCTCCGCCAGATCGTCAAGTATCAGCCGTATCTCGCGTCTCCCCTCCGGTACACAGCACCGTAAGACGTAGTGTGGAGTTACATTAGGTAACGCGAGATACGGCTGATACTTGCGCATTAGTTTCTGTTATGGATCAGTATCAACAGTCCTGCCAGTAACGTTACTATATTATCAATACTACTTTAGTTATAGCCTGATATATGATTGCTAACTTTACAATGTAAACTGACGTTAGCTAACATTAACTGTAGCTAACGCCGGTCACTCACCAATACAGCTGCTCTGTTCTCCACTGGTTCTCCACACACCAAAGCTCCATTTCTCTCCGATGGCCGTTATTTTTTCTAATCCTTGGCTGCTCCTGGTCTCTTGGACGCATAGCAGGCTCATAAGTATAATCATATACATTCGAATATATATTTTCAACCTCTTCTGTGTCAAAACTAGCATTATGATCCATGTTTATTCATACGTTAGACCGGCCGCTCTCCCCCATGTTACGTCACACGCGGGGGCTTTTTTATGCGGAAGTGAAAATGTCTTACTAAAACGACGCCAGATGTCACTGTAGTGTATATTTCTGTATATTTTTTTGAAAATCTAGTGTATTCATCATTTTCCTACACATTTATTCACTGGTGTCTCTAACCTGCAAGTTGCTCTTTAAGATCGACCCACTATTGATTTCTTCAAAAATAATATTGATTTAATTTTTTTCCCTAATTCAAGAACATGTGAAAGATATAAGATGAGTTGCCGACATTTGAGCGGGCCTAATGTCTCTAGCTCTCGTGCACACACACACACACACACACACACACACACACACACACACACACACACACACACACACATACACACACTTCCTCAAACTCATATTCTTTTCTGATGGCTTTCTCAGACTCCCTCCATAAAGTGTTGGCCAGCTTATCTCACCTGAGCCTGAGGCTACCGTTATTGAGTTTTTCATGGCTTATAAATGACACACACACACACACACACACACACACACACACACACACACACACACACACACACACACACACACACACACACACACACACACACACACACACACACACACACACTTACTTACTTACTTGAGGCATTCTGGTGTACTCTTGTGAATCCAGATCAGTATGCAATCCCTACTCCTGCATTGTAACACAACGGCTCCAGAATACACTCAGTGATGAATTGATGTCTCATATTTGAAGCAATTCTTTAACACTTTAATCCTCTGATTTCGATAATCTCCTTTACTTTCTATTCATCCGTCTAAAGGTTCGTATGCTGGCGGACCTGAGCCTCGTCGGCTGCTACAACATGTCCACAGTTCCAGAGAAGAAGAGGGCCCAGCTCCTCCTGGAGTCAGCCAAGAAGAACCTAAGAGACATGTCCTTCTTTGGTCTGACGGAGTACCAGAGGAAAACCCAGTTCCTGTTTGAACGGACCTTCAGGTTACGCTTCATCAGGCCTTTCATGCAGTACAACAGCACCCGGGCAGCAGGGGTGGACCTGGACAACACTACAGTAAGTGCTGCGGAGAGCTCTGTAGGCAGGAAGTGACAGATTATAAGAGACATAAGAGAATGTCCGCTGCAGGAAGTCACTTTGTAGGACTTTGAGGTTATTTTTTAAAAGGTACTTTTCTTTATTTGAGAATTTCCTTTTTATGCTACTTTTATTTTCTATAGGACATTTCAAAGAGAAATACTTTACATATTTACAAGTTGCTATACATTATAGCTATTGTAAGTTTATAGAATACAATGCATTGTTTAAGATGAAACCAGTGGCTCCAAACCTTATTGGATCATCACTCCCTCCAAAAAATGTTGGGAACCAGTTGGGTAGTTTTGCCGAAAACTGGGAACCACTAGGATTAAACTAGCAGACCAAGTTCTTATATACAGTACAAGTAGTCATATATTGCTGTGAAATGACTTTCCCCATCAAAAAAAAAAAAAACAGCAGCTTCAAACACGTTTTTTACACTTTGATTGGTCCAGTGTGGGAGTTCTTAGACTCAATTCCCTCCAGTACACAGCAGACTGGTGATTTATACATCAAAACCAGTTGGGAGGAGAGAAAATAAAATATGCCCCTCTGACAGAGGCTGTGGAAAGATGGATATTATCACAAAAGGTGGAAAATATCCCATGGTGAAACTGACGGGTAGAGGAGGCTGTGTGGCATTTTGAGTGAAAGTTAGGTTTAAAATAGCTTATATCTAAAGGCCCCGCATGAAGTTGTGACAGAATTGAATTATTTCTATTTTTTTTTAAAAAGGAAAATAATTGCATCAGCAGGTGATGATAAGAATATTTACTTTTCACCCTTTTGCAAAGCTGCTGAAAGCCCATTCATACCTTTTTGTGGCGTCAAGTTCCCAGAGAGCGGTTTCTGATTGAATCTGTTTTTGTGATGAAGTCTTTGTGCGAGTGGAGCTCAGCATCATCCTCCTGGCTTTGTTCCGGTGTCCCCTCATCTCTAATTTTCTAAAACTGATTCACTCTTCCCTTTGTTGACGCACACATTGCTCACAAATGATATCCAGCACTCCATCTCAGTTTTCAAAGGGATTCTCTTAATTAAACACATTTCCCCCTCCATGTTAAATCCACACACACACAGCAGATGATACGAGCCATTAAATCCAGCTGGTTTTTTACAACATCAAACATTTCAACATTTCTGTTATCTTGCTCCACATATTGCCAACACACTTTTTATTCTCAGTTCCCTCTCGTGTTCAAAGTCCAATAAAGCTTTTGTACAAATGTCAGGTCATAGGGCGTTATCCACCGCAGGAACTTTCACATAAAGTTCATTAAATGATTTCACGCCAAGTCCCTAAAGTAGGATGTCACTGGCCAGGTTGGATGTGTTTTCTTCTCTGGGAAGATTCATTAATATGGGCCAGATTGTCTAGTGTGGAGACAGGAAACTCTACATGTTTTTATCACTCAAACTTTGGAGTCACGCCAAAATGATACAAAGAATAACACATAAATATGTTGTTTGAAAGGCTGCTATTCATTTCTAATCCATCATGTGTCCAGAGTAAAGTTGTTTCAGTTCCACTTACAAATAGCTTTACCGTAACCCTTTCTCTCACTTTTCTTTATGTTCTTCTATGACAACATTCCTTTTAGTTGTATCTTGTTAACAGTGTCTTGACATCAGCTCAGACATCACTAAATACTGTAAACCCGGTATCTTTAATGATTTAAAAACCTAAGCAGTCGCCCCCAAGTTCTGATCCATTGTGAATCGTCATGGCTTCTGTTCTGCGTTACCATTTTGACCTTATTTCTTCTACATCTTCTTTTGTTCTTCTCTGCCTTTAACGCAAACATTTCCTCTGCTCCCTCCCCTTTAGGTCCAGCGTATCGAGGAGCTGAACGAGCTGGACATGGAGCTGTACGACTACGCCAGGGATCTGTTCCAGCAGCGCTACCAGTACACCCGGCAGCAAGAGAGGCGGCAGCAGCGCATCAAGAACCACCTGCAGCAGAGCCACCAGGGCCTGGGCCTGGGCGTCAGCCTGTGGCCCTCCCACGGCCGGCAGAGCTCCGTGTCCACACAGGAAGAGGGGGAGGGAGAGGGGGAGAAGGAGAAGGAGGAGAGGGGGGAGGGCGGCGAAGAGGGAGGCAGGACGGAGGAGGCGGGCAGCAGGCTCCCCACTGAGGACTACATGAACCAGATCATCAACCGCTGGTAGCAGCAGAATGAGAACACAGACATGCATATGTAATGTGAAATACACACACACACACACACACACACACACACACACACACACACACACACACACACACATACATATATATACACACACACACACACAGAGTGGCGCCTGCATCAAAAGACCCAATTGACTGACTTTACTGGAGAGTTGGGATGCGGGAGTGAGAGTCACAGTGGTTGCTATGGAGACCTGGGCTTGGTCGATTGCATCAGCTCACATTATTGAGGTTCGCCCAGTTGTTATAAGCACCCGCTTGCCCTTCTCCTCTCCCCCCCCCCCCCCCCCTCTGAGTTTCTCCGTCTCTCCCATCATCATTACTGACTGAGCGGAGGAGAGATATTTTTCAAAGTTGCTGACAACCGAATATCTCGACCATCCTTCCCGCGTCCTCATCCTCCTCCTGTATTCCTCTTGTTCTCTGTGGCCTAATATGGAGCATGAGAAAATCAAATTAAAGTCTGTGAATTCCCACACACTCTCGCTAAAAGACCAGTCTATCTCCCGGATGCTCCAGTTTCCAAAGAACTGGGGAAAGTGTAAAAGTATGCTAATGGCTGAGCTGAACAAAGAGTGGGAGTACATGAGACTGAACCTGAAAGGAAGAAAGGAGCAAAGAGAAGTCGGACTGAGTTGTGTAATAAAGCTTTCTGCTTAAAAAAATAATCAGCCATTTTACCCATGAACACGCTTTGGTCATGAAATAATGACATCCTCATATTAGGATGATTTTATTTGTATTTTTCCTTTTTGCTTATGCTTTTTTTAATGCAGAATTGTAATAACACTGAGACCAATATTGCTGCCTAAAGAAAAGTGATTCCTTTATTTCTTTATTTTTATTGGTTTTATAAGTCAAAGCTAATAGATCGGATTGATGTACAATGGACCATAGCCATTACTGAAGCCTTGCATTTTAGGGGGGGTTCGGGGGGGGGGGGGGGGGGGGGGAAGTTGCCTGTTTCTTTTGTTAAAGGTTCCCAAAGCTCCTGTCGCTTAACAAGTTCATTATTTCTTCCTTTCTCTCCCTTTTTTTCCGGATCTCAGTCCTGCAGAGAATGACAGCCAATTACAGTCAGATCTCACATAGGTGTGTAGAAATCGAAGAAGGGGGGGGGGGAAGCGAGTCTGCGGCAGGTTGTTGCCAGGAGCCGTGCTGTATGAGCGGCAGGCGCTTTGGAAACCTTAACTCAGACAAATGCTCCAGATGGGAGTTGTGGAACTACCGGTCACCATGGCAATGTGAGCCCTTAATACAGTGGGTGGCATTTACACTTTCTCTGGGTTTTTCTTTTCCTTACCAAGAGCTGCGTTGTAAAAAATCGGCTATCTCAAACAAACAAGCCTCCTCCCCACCTCCTGAAAGGGCACATGTAGCCGCGGTGACCTGCAGTTCGTTAGCGACCCGTTTAGTTTTACCCTGAAGAACGCACGGGGTGAGGTAGCAGTGCCTCTATGTACTGGGATCATAGTCAACATTATTTTTTGCCTGATGTTACGTCTGCATTATACTACAGTGATTTCTCTGACTACTCGTGTGTCTGCGCGGATGAGTGTGTTTCTGTGTGTGTGTAAATAGTATGTACAGTATGCCTTTGATTGGCGTATGTGTATGCCTTTGTAAATAGTGTGCCTGACTGAGAGGGGATGCCTGATGACTTGTGAATGACTGGTTCCATGACCAATTATCTTGCTTTTTTTTTTGATGGAGGGCAGGGCAACAAAGTCCCTCGACTATCGCAGTGATGCAAGCCAATAATACCCCCTCTCATCCTTTCTTTAACATTTTCCTTCCCCCTTTTTCTTGTCTTCTCCCCATGACGTAGTTACACATGAGGACTGTATCGCTATAACTATCTAAAATACTAATTTACGTTTAAAAAAATCTGCCAGTGTGACACGTCTTTACCCTTGAATGCAAAATCTACAAGTAGTGTTGGGTTACGACAACCTGCTCTGCCAGTGGCTCCAAATTCTGTAACCCAATCAGGAATTTTGACTTGAGCTTGTTATTCACGTTTCTTTTCTTATGAACTTGGTTCTCGCTTGTCACAAACACTAAACTCTTAACCTAACAAATCTCTTATTGAATATTTCATTTCCTGCTGCACTGTAGTAAACCTGAATGTAGCTTTCGCCGTTTGTAAAGCCAAACATCGCCGACCCATTTTTGTAGCATTCCCAACAAAAAAAGGTGCAAATCAAAATGTTATGTTTTCCCTTTCTATTCAGCATCTGGTCAAATCTTCTAAGAAGTTTTTTTGAAAGAAAAACTTTTTGCCAAAGGTAAATTCAATATTTAAATCAAGTATTTTCACAGATTGTGAAATGACCTGAGCAGCTGACTTGGTGTACATTACAGTTTAGAGAAAATATTGGATTTTAATCATGGATTCACCCCAGGTTAACATTTGATCAGTCTGAAAAGAATTGGTTTGTACCTGCAGAGTGCTGAGATTTCAGATTATATTCAATAAATATTACATTTGTATTGGCCTGAACTAAACTTTTTGTAATGACAGAGAAACATTCCACCTCTGCTAATGGACTCTGTGGTTTTGTAGTTCAACAAAACCAACAGAAGGATTACTTTTCATTAGAGAATCTATCTGATTGTATCACGTTCATTTGTATTCTGTTTATCCTGTTTTCAGGTTGTAGGTGCAGCTTGTGTTTCTGCCAACTTAATGTGATAATAGATCTTTGAGTTTGAACTCATTCAAACTCTTAACCTGAGAATGTTCAATAAGGGATTTCGAAAGGTTTCTGATACATGAATACTGATTTCATAGTCCATCAAATGTTAATGAAGCCCATCCCAAATCAAAGCAATGAATCTGAGCAATAAGAGGGAACACCAAGGAGAAGAAGGTGGAGAAGAGAATGTAAAAGTGGGCAAGAGACGTGTCACAGCACGATATAATTAAACTGAATGTAGTCCATGCAGAGGGGCAAAGGGAGGATGCATGCTTTCTTGGTATAAGATAAATAACATGTCGCATCCTGTTCCTAACAATAGATGTTCTGAAGAAAGGAGAAACCAACAATTTAGCCGCAGACCACCCTTCTCAATACATTTAAACTAATCACCCTGGATCCTCTATTGTCTTTCCTTTTGATCAGCTCCTTTCAACAAATCATGTGAGGAGAGGAGGGTTGATACAAGGTATTGGGATGTGTCCAGGGTCAATATGCTGCTTTTTGTGTAGCCTTCAAAGTAACGCAAATGGTAATGGTAAGAGAGATGTCCCTTCTTTTGTTTGGTATTAACTTCCCCTGCATTGTATTCTTGAAACTGGAGACCTGAAAACACTGCAGCTCCAGGCATTTTGCCCACAACCTCTTTTTCAGAGTCAGTCTTGCGTTCGGGCTCCAAACCAATATCTGGCTCTGCATTAGTGGCCGAAGACAGAACACAAAAGTAATCTGCCTTCAGAGTGTTTTATTTTCAGCGCTCCAGTTTCGAGTGACCATCAGCCTTGAAGCAGTGCTCACAAATACTCCCAGTATCCCGAAACAAAAACCTTTCATTGAAATTATTCCAGGAATTGACGCTGTAAAGCTATACTCAAATATTTTACGTCTCATCACTATGTATATCTGATGTCTTAACAGCGTTTCCTTTGTGACAATGAAGCAACCCGGGTAACATCATCCTCTTTTTGTTTCTTTGTGTTTTTGTTTTTTTAAAGATGTGTTAAAAACGGTGTGATAGAGACTTGTTTTTTGGGATTGGTCTGCAGTTTGTCTCTGGCTCCTTCTGTATGCATCATTCTGGGTTTGTTTCTTATGATTGCAAAAATGAATCATCAAGCCACCAATTAAAAATATTTCATTTTTACAGACCTGACTGTGTGTTCTTGTTACTGCATATCATTAATGCTCTATGACTCTATTAAGCATGACAAACGTTTCCCCTTTGACTTTTTCTGGATGGATCATTCATCCAAGGTCCTGAATTTATAACGCTGCCACATATTCCTTTTAAAAATACTCACTTAGGGATCTTGTGTGTGCCCTCCAGGTTTCTGCACTTCCATCCACCGGCCAATCTATAACTAGAACATTTCTACCACTCGCCTACACTAACCACAGGACCATGACCCCATAAAGCAGCCTGCCCCCCCCCCCCCCCCACCCTAATGACACCCTCAGCCCTGTCAACAGTGATCTACCACCTAATTCAATCCGCAGACACTCTGGGCCTGCCTCACACACACGTATATGTACACAAACACACTCCTTCCTCTGCTGTGGTAGGTAGGCGTGAGGCGGGCAGGGGACAGAGACCGCGGGCCGGTATAAATATAATTCCCTGTCCTTGGCTGTGCACGCAGAGGAGAGGGGGCAGAGCTTCCTCCCCGTCTCATCAGCGGTGCGGTTGAGCTTCAACTTTGACCCCTTGAGGCCGGGCAGAAAAACAATTTTCCTGGATAGTGACAGGCGGAGGCAATGGGCTGAGGGGAGATCAGAGCGGGGAGACAGCACCGACAAGAGCAAGAGTGTAAGGGAGATGAGGAATCAGAGAGGGCCTTCATGTAAGACAGAAGGATGATTTTGTGTCTGAAGAGGGAATGAGAGTGAGCAGGAGAGAACGGGGAGGTTGTGCCGCCTCTCTGGCAGCTGGTTCATGGTGTGTTGGAGTGAACGCAGTCTTTAATCCTCCCATAGCTCTGGGTCGCTGTCATTTCAAGTGCAGCTGGACTAAACAAACAATTATGGCTCGGCTACTGCAAAGGGCTCTGCGGCTTTTGTCCGAGCGAACATGTGAGTGTTTGGGAGAAAGTGCTCTCTCCTGCAGAGGGAATCCAGCTCTGAGTGATTCAATGGGCTCTGGCTGCCGTCCATTATTAGGTCAAACTGGCTGCAACTCTTCATTGCCGGTCCCTATGCTTCTTTCATGCAAACAAAGAAGCTCTGGCATTATTATCGCCTATTTTCAGCATGGAATTCTGCAGATAAGTTAATACCAACTGCCTCCCTCATATGCATCAGTGCCAGGCTATTGTAGTTCTGGAGGATTGCCCTTTTGGCTCTGGTACTGGTCACCATGGAGTTTGGTCCTCTGTCTCTGGTTGAGTCATTTCCAGCAGTGGCAATGGGTTAGCCCTTCATCTGTAAATATACAATGTGGATAAATATCTATGCACAAACCATTTGCAGAGAATCAATACCATGTTTTGTCAAAAAGTAAATGCACAGGGCATCCAGAGAGTCCAGTGTGGGAGTAGCACATTTTTCCTTTGGCAATAAAACAAATACGATTAGATTGGACATGTGAGGCCATTGTCTGACCTTCCACTCTGGGTTTTAGCTAATCTCCCAGGTCAACACCAAATCATCCCTCATGATATTAAAGGATTGAAAAGAAGAATCCAGGAAGCTCCCAGGCTGCACTCTGCTTTGTATTCCGACTGACACCAGTGGGAGTCCAATCCGAGGAATCTCACAATCCCATTATGGTGAGTTTATTATGTTTGCGTGTGTGTGTGAGGAGCTTTGGCCCAGGAGCTCATAAAGAGATGATCCGCTTTAAATTTATTAATCCTTTACATAAAAGCCTTATAAATGAAGATGTTGGAGAAATGTAACAAACATTAGGTCAGGGCCTAAACAAAATGAAAAGCTGTCATAGGGACGGATACATTCCCTGTATCTATGCACACGAGCATATAAATGAAAGGCCTAAATGTTACTTTGCATAAAGAAAATGACTGATTCTAATTCAAAAACATGTTGCTTAGTAAGTGTTTGTAAATGTAATGTATAACAACCCAACCAAGGCTGTCCTCATCTCAATCTGTATTTATGATTTGAGCTCAGACCAGCCGAGTGTTTGGTGGCTGTAATGTGATGAATTAGCTTCATGTAGCTGACCCCCACTGACCCCTATTATACAGTCAGGGACACATTTAATTAGCGGCAACTCACGTGAAACGACAAAATGTATTAATATTAATGGAGGTTTAATTGAGGTCGTTTTGGTCCCCCGTCGAGGCTTTCAACCTCTAAAATGGCTGACGTGTGATAGTGCGAGGAGAGGGAGCCCACAGCCCGGGCTCGCCATTTTGTGTGTGACCCCGGAGAAGATGACAAACCATCTCCCATAATTCATCTGAAGATGTCACCCATCGTTGACAGATGAACCAGGGCGTGTGTGTGTGTGTGTGTGTGTGTGTGTGTGTGTGTGTGTGTGTGTGTGTGTGTGTGTGTGTGTGTGTGTGTGTGTGTGTGTGTGTGTGTGTGTGTGTGTGGTGTGTGTGTGTGTGTGTGTGTGTGTGTGTGTGTGGTGTGTGTGTGTGTGTGTGTGATGTGTGTGTGTGTGTGTGTGTGTGGTGTGTGTGTGTGTGTGTGTGTGTGTGTGTGTGTGTGTGTGTGTGTGTGTGTGTGTGTGTGTGTGTGTGTGTGTGTGGCACTATACTTGGAAGGGTTCTCTACCAGTGGGGACGTTTTGGCCTGTCTTCATAGGGGTACAATTACGATTTTAGTGTTAGATTGTGTGTGTGTGTGTGTGTGTGTGTGTGTGCGTGTGTGTGCATGCATCAACATGTGTGAGGTGTCGTGGGCGAGGGCACTTCAAAGTGAAGGTCAAATCCAGCAGGATAATTAATGTCGCTCCTTTTCATATAATGTTAAATCAAACTCTGGAACTGCTCCCTCTGTAGGATCAGCTGTCAAATTTAATTTAGGCTGCAGAGCGAGTAAATGAAAAAAGCAAGACCCATGTCTCCACACACTGGGACAGTGTCTCTTTAGCTTTCATCTTCTTTTATCAGGACCGCACAACAGGTGGACATGTTTAAACAACGTGCCCCAAAGAGAATCAGCCCATCTTAAGAGCAATTCAAGGTTATATTATGAAATGTTGGACCCCAGGAGCCTTTTGCAAAATGAGAGGGAATCAGGTTTCTCTTATTTTATATTACCAAATCACAAACACTGTGAACCAAAACAGCTTTGGCTTATTCTTAATACAGGATTTTTTGTCATGGCTGTCACACCATGTAAACAGGAAACCTCATTGACATATTTAAATGAATATGTGCGATTTTCTTAAATGAAGTACCACCATGTTATGGATCAACTTAACAGTGTCTGGTATACAATTATGGTTGGAGCCCTAAACATAATACCACATGTACAGGAAATGAAATAGAACTTTCTCACCTACCTCTTTTTAAAAAGCAAATCCCTCCAAAAATTGTATTCATATAATTACATCTATAAAATTATTTCGCTCAGCTTTAATATTTAAGTTCATATTATGTTTAATTTCTGATTTTGTCATATAATAAAAATGAAATAGATATAATGAAGAGGTTATCTTTTAAAAGATAATGAAAATAAAAAATGTACAAATAAAATACTATATGTATGTGTCTGCATGTACTTATACATACCTGCATAGAAACAGGTAGACAAAGGATACACATGTATTTACACACATATTGACTGTGCTGCTTTCTATACACTGTCCTGTTCGGTATAATATCAAAATATGTGAATGTTAACCTATGTTATGTTATGTCTGTGGTTGGCCATTCTACCGAATTGGACCAAAGTCAGGTTGTTAATGTTTTGAAATGTTGTATGTTTTTTTTCCCAAAACGTTGTCATATATATTTTGTACCATATCTAAATTACACATATCTAGTAAAAGAACCATACATTTTTATATCTTATTTTCAGACTGTATTGGAATGTTCTTCCTCTACCAAAAATGGTCACTACCGAAACATAGTACATACACTGTAGTAAAAAAGTATTATATTAACTTGTTAAGATTGTTTTACCTTCCCTTCTCTAAATAGTATTTTAACAAATATTTCTTGAGGGTTTTCACAATTAAATTAATAAAAGTGAATTTGTAATCAAATTTCAAAGTACAATTTATACAATTCATAAAAATCATAATGCAAACTTTCTTTGTAAAATGCATAATACTGATCATATTGATTCCAGAGTTGATGATTGTTGAAATTGAACATACATTAAACCAATCAGTATCATATCATTTTAGATGATAACTCAATATACTTAATTTTTTACAAAACATCCACTGTTTTGGTAGTGACCACAGTATTTTGTTCTCACGGTCATATTCCCTCAACCTTATTGCTTAATCTTAACTCATAACATGCCTTATGTTGAAGTGTGAATGTTTGAAGCTACTGACCCAGAATCAGCACTTTAGTAACAGGCTGAAATAGAGGGGGATGAGGCTAGAATACATGATCTGTTTGGTAATTCGGTAGAATGCCCCATATACCAATGATATCACCATATAGACATTAAAAATACACCCACTGCTTTTAGATAAACACTTTTGGATGTAATAGCTCAAACACTTTTCCTGGAAGCCATTGAGCGTGCCACAAATTAAGTGTCAATGGACCAACTCCATAAAAGTGACACCTGCTCTGATTTGTAGCTGGGACAGATGTGTTTGTTAGAAAATATTGATTTTACTGTCAAAAGTCACTGGAATAGCACAATGTGATTTATGTTATGGTTTTGGTTTTCATTAACTGATACAAATAACAGTGGTGAAATGTAACTAAGTACAGAATGGGCCATTATGCGTTATGGGTTCTTTCACTATGTGTGTTATGAATACATTAATACATTACATTACAATACAATACATTAGTACATTGCATCACAATAAAGGCTTGACCCCCTCATAAAACTCATAACAACCTACACTGTATGTTCACAGTTAATATGTCATATCTTGTTATGGAACTAATGAGGCTGTGGTAGTTGTGGTGTAAAAAACGGAAATGAAAAGTCAGTCAGAAAGCAACAGAGGCTTAAGTCCAGTTTATTCTAATGACATGTTAAG